TATTTTTAGCTTATAAGCAACTTAAACTTTTTTTCTTATATTATAAAAACTAATTTTGCAAAAAAGTAATCCTTATTTTCAAATATCAACTTTTTCTCGTAACACTACCTGAGAGCCGAGAAAAATTACGCCAGTCGGCATAATAAGAAATACTTACTCATGACTTCGTCATTCGTGGCGTATTTCTTATCACACCGCCTTCTGTTGTACTCGGCTTGCCAGCCTGGCCTGTACCAAAAAAAATATAAAAGACACGAAAATTCTCGCAACATGTGAATTCTCGCAACACGAAAATTCTCGCAACACAAAAATTCTCGCAACACGAAAATTCTCGCAACACGAAAATTCTCGCAATACGAAAATTCTCGCAACACGAAATTCGCACAAAATGTCTTCTAATTTGTATAAAATTGAAGATAATCAATCTATTTCTTGTCAACAAGAAGGATGCGACTATAAATTTCGAAAACCAAAAAATAAACATAAAAGCATCATGGAACACTATTTTCGTCGTCATAAGAATATTCACAAACAATTAAAATTTAATACAAAACCATATTCAAAACCACCACTACAAGAGCAAAAAAATCTTGTTTTCTGCGCAACTAAATCTTTACAGCAACAAAAGAATCTCGAAAATAAAAAATTTGATTTAGAAAATTTAAACGGAGAAGGGCATGATCTACTAATTGCACTTGGAAAAACTGAAAGCTTTTGTTTTCATTATTTTGTTAACAGAAGATATTTTAATTTCAAATTTTTAAAAATAGTCGAAGGATACACGTTATCATTCTTTCTTAACAATACTTTGTTGGATTTTACTGATGAAATTTTGGATAATTTTTCTTACAATTTTATTACTTTCAATAATCTTGAAATATTTAAAATTGATGATGGATTCTTACTTTTAAATCCAAACATAAAAATTGTAAAAATTTTTTACAAAAATTTTCTAATTTTTGAGACAAACGAATTTGATACTTTATTTAAAAATTAAATAACAATTTTATTTTTTATGAAAAAAACAGCTCTTGGTTGTATGATTGTTCTTTTTACATATATTACAATAAATGAATTCTCTACAGGGACCCAAGTGCACAAAGTTACAAAACGTACACTTGTTATAGGCACAGTTTCTAAAAAAATGTTTATCGGAACCACATGCTTGACAATGTTTTTTAAAGCGACAGTCCTTATAAAAATGATTTTTTTTACCACAAAGGTCGCAAAATACAGGAACACTCTCACAAGGATCAAAGAAGTAATCCCGCAAAATCTTTTTCGGTGGTGAACCCCAACCTTCCTCGCTAAAACATATAAAAATAAATTAATAAAATAAAAAAAACAAAAAAATAAAAAATAAAAAAAAATAAATTACTAATTCATTTAATTTTTATTATTATTAAACAAATGGTCAAAATTGACATTTTTTATAAAAAATATTTATATTTTTATTGTAAAATAAAGTTTAAAACCTGCATCTATGCATGCATAATTACAGATCTTTATATTCGGCTTTATTATCTACCTTATAATTCCAATCGTTTACATACCCTCCAAATTTCTCGATATACAACATCTTATCATCAATAATACAATACAAATTACGAACAATTACCTTAATAAAATCTATCTTAACAAAATCACAAATCTTTTTATATTTCTCAATTTTATCATGCTTTTCATAAATTTTTCTAATTAAACCTCTAATATAACCCAACAAATAAATACAATGAGTTAACATGTCACTTTTTTTGATTAAGTTCAAGATCTTTTCTTTCACGTAGATAACAAGATTACCATACACACGATTTTCTTTGTATACTTTGTAACGCAACTTATAGTTGCAATACTCTCGTAAGATGCGCAATTTGAAGTTGACAACGTAAACAAAATCATGCTCTTTTAACAGACCCTTGTAACAAGGGCAAATTTTTTCATAGTTTTTAACGAATATTGACTTGTAAGTTTTATATTTTCTCGAGTTCGGTCTTGAAGATTTGAGACCGCAATCCTCAACAACCTTTTGCCAGAAAGGATGCTCGTCAAGAACTTCTTTCCAGGTTTTGCAAACCAACGAGCACTTTTGAAAGGTGTGCGGATCAAAAATATGATTGAAAACATAATAAATAGGGTGAATTATATCATCATTCTCAAATTCTATCAATCTTCTCTTTCGTTTCATTTTTTAAGTTTACTACAACGATACAAAAATTCATATTTATAAACTTTGAAAATTACCAAATATAGATTTCCATATTAGGAAATTTATAGATCAACATGGAGTGGAAATCGAAGTTTCCATCGTTCGAACACGCAACAACCTGGAAGAAGATTACTAATCCGGATAAACCAAAGTTGAAATTGAACAAGTATCGTACGGTAAAAATTGATAACAAACTGTATCTCGAGGTGAAAACACAGAAACCAGATATCACGTTTCTTATAGATTATAAGTATTTTGAATATCTAAAGAATCACACTTGGTGTGCTCATAAACATGAAAATACGTATTATATAATAACAATTAATAAAAAATTTTACTATTTTCATCGTTTGATTAAACCAAAATACAAGATGATCGATCATATCAATCGAAATGGTTTAGATAACCGTGAATGTAATTTAAGAGAAACAACAGCAAAAGAAAATGTTTTAAATTGTAAATTACGTAAAGATAATACATCAGGATTTAATGGAATTTATTTTCATAAACGTGATAAACTTTGGGTTTTTCGTTGGTATGAAAATAAAAAACTTAAAGTAAAATATTTTAAAATCAAATAAGAAGCAATAGATTTCAAGTTAGAACATGATAAGAAGACTGGTAATCGCAACGGATATCCTGTTTAAATTCTGTATTTTATTAATAAAGTTGATATGTTATTAGCCGTGTTTTAATAAAAAACACGTTGCCCAACTTGAACCACAAGGAGGTTTCATATCACTCGAGTTAAAAAAAAAAAAAAGAACGAGAGCTTCAATCCTTTTAAGGTGAGAGACAAAACTGCCACCAGACAATAAAAGTAATGTCCCTTATCGATTACTTCGCTCACCGTTCGCCAAGAAAGAAGAGCCAGCTTAATGAGGCCAGCTATCGAAATTTGTAAGAAAATCGTTTCGTTAATATCGTTCCAGTAGACCAGGTTCTCCCAAAAACTCAAGTGAATCTCAAGGTAGAGCTTCTGGACCGGATCTCTGTCTCTCACACAAAACGTACGAGAAACATGACCACGCACAGTAGTTACAGAGAGAGACTTCACCCGAAACGACCAACTACCGAAGAGATACCAGCAGCTTTGGTCATTGTTTTAGCAAGAATCGCACTATATTACTTGGTATGTTCTCCCAAGATTTTTGAAGGAAAGTAAAAAAAAGTTGACCAGTTCATTCGTTTCCTATGCATGAAAAGATGAGTATGCTTCTCCTTTCGGATATCTTATATGTTAGTCACTGCATATACGTATTCCTTAATTTTAATAAAGTTGAGTACACTTCTCCAAAATTCTGGATATCTTATGTGTCGTCACTGCGTATACGTATTCCTCAGTCTTAACATGCAATCATCGGAAGAGCGAAAAGGCGAAAAAAACAGAAATTGGGCGTAAATCGCAGGTATTTGTACTGTGTCGATCAATCATGTATGTCACAGTCACTTACGTAATCGCATATGCATCACTATCGGAATGCCAAATTAGGATTCATACAAATACACAATCAGGTTGATCATGGAACATACCAGAAATTTACGTACAAGTTGCACAGATTACATTTTTATCAAAAAAAATATATAATTTATTAAAATTTAATAAAAATATTCAACTAATTATCCTCAAGTTTAATGATCACATTTAACGCCTTGTTAACACACTTTTCTAATTCATATTGCTTAAGGTTATCGGGGTTGTTAAAATTGTGAACAGTATAACGCTTTTGCTCAGGAATCAAAGCGAAAATTCTCTTCTTCTTTAGTAAAATATTATATTTTTTTTGGATGATTAATCAAAAAAATATTTGAATTATGGAAAGGTTTTTTAATCTTTTTCTGATCCAATTCGTTAATTTCTTCAACTTCAATATCATCAGGTAGAAGCACGTGAAATTGAAAGAAAATTTACCGTAAGAATAATATCATTATGATAATTTATTATTATATTTTTTAAAAAAATAACATATTCAATTTAATTTTACTTAGAAAAGAAAAAATAAAATTTCTAAATTTTTGCCATAAATCTTCATAATAGTTCAAAAAATTATAAATAAAATCGTTAAACCCAAATTGACAAGAAAGTAAAAAGAAAAATAAGATAAAAATTATAAGAAAGAAAATTTTTTGTAAATTTTGTCTTTCTTGTCTAGCTTGTTGTCTCTCGCGTCTAGCTTGTTCTCTTTCTTGTCTAGATTGTTCTCTTTCTTGTCTAGCTTGTTGCCATTCCTCTTCATTTTTACTTTCCAATTTTTCAACTTGATTTTCCAGTTTTTCGTTTTGATTTCTTAATCCATCATTTTCTTTTTGTAAATAACCATTTTCAGTTTTCAAAGAACAATTTTCTTGTAATATTAATTGCACTTCGTTCTGAGATAATTTTCTTTGCCTTTAAAAAATAAGTATTTAGAAATTATTTAAAACAAAATATGATAAATTATCACTCACATAATTAATAAAAAAAATATGTGTTGAGTTACAATTAAAGAAGACATTTTGAATAGTTTGAGTTTAAATTAATATTTTTAAAATGCACTAATTTAAATAAATTTCGTATTAGAGATCAAAATGGAATATTTATAAATTTGGAAATTAACTATTTATAGATCACCATTCAAACTATAAACATGACAAATTTAGATTCATACTAAATTTATTTTAATGATAGCGTAGAATGTGCTAGAAATTTATGTACAGATCATGTTTTTATTTAACAGAATTAGGTATAAAATACAAGTTTTACAGATAATATTTACAAAAAAACCACAACTAAACATGATAATCCCAGTAGCCCTTGCCATGAATTACCCTCCCATTTCTTGATGAAGAGCTCACCACCACCTCCTTAAAAGTGGTATTCCGCACCACCCAATACGCTCCCTCCATCTTCCACTCAATGTTGACATCTGATACCCTTCTTATTATAACAGGTATCCTATCAACATCCAACCCTCGCTTTATCGCCTCCTTGAAGCAATAAAGCCTTCTATTATCTGACGAATAGAAGATATCCTCTATCAAACAAACATTGATGAGAGGGAAATCTTCTATCCGTACCTTACCATCCACCAGATCCTGGATGGTGTTATCAAGGTCGTTGCCCATCTGGAATACATTATTTATCGATGCCTGACTGTAAAGTATCAGACATGGGTCAACGAACCTCACCACATCTCCCTCCGAGAGATTCAGTTGCAACAACAAGAATCTCCATCGGAACAAGAACAAAAGCCCGAAAATCCACACCAAAGCCGTCGAAAACAACGACGACAACAACAACATCACCACCAACATCTACTCAAAAGTATAACTCTTGAACGGTGTTTCTTCAATCTCCACCTGCGAAGGATCTTCTTGTTCAGCTTGCATTGAAGAAGGTGCAGAATCTTCTTTAATGTTGGTTGAACCAGATGGTTCTTCAAGATTCCACCCTTCTCCTTGGTCATAATCTGACCAAGCATTCTCATAAATATCTTCTTGAGGAGGGATCGATCTGGTTGTAACATTAGATTTCTTGGTAATTTTAGCGATGAGTTTTTTGAAAGAAGGCATTTTTAAAGAATATATTTTTTGTAAATTGTAAAAATTCAAGAGTGAATTAATTTGTCATTTGATAAAAAATTTTTACGTTTAAATAAACTTTTTCACTTTGCAAATCAAACTTTATTATCAAATAATTGGTTCTTTACATGAGAATTTTTAAAGTTTTTCCGTAAAAAAATACAAGTTTTTAAGATCAACCATCTCAGAACGAAAGTTAAATACACCCAACTCAAAACCAATAACGTCCATTCAAAAAGTAAATAAAAATTTATTAAAATAAAAATTACATAAAGATTTTTTACGTTCTGGTTGATCAAGAATGAACAGAAAAATACATTTTCGATCAACCAGAACATAAAAAATCTATCAGAAAATAAACAGATCAACTGTCTATTCTCTTTACATTGAATTTAATTTAATTATAATAGAATCTATAAATTCATTAAATTGTCTTCTAACTAATTCTAAATAATTATTAAAGAGTTCTCTTCTAACTTGAACTTCAACTCTTTCTGAAAGAAGTTGATTATTCAATGTATGAACATTAAAAGTATAATACATATAACCACCAAATAAAACTAAAAATACAAAATTTAAAAAAAATAAAATTTTTAAAAGTTTTTCGATCATTTTTTCAAGAGAACGAATTCTATTCTCATATTGTTCAAATTCAGTTGCCAATCGATCTGAGAAGTAACTTGTATCTAGTAAATCAAATTATATTTAATATAAATAAATAATTAATTAACTAAAATATAAATATTTACCTTTAGAAGTGGCAACAACTTCTTCAGTAACTTGTTCGATTTGTTCAACAATAGGTCGAAAAGCCATGTTAGATTTATTTTTTGTTGTAAAAATTGCAAAAATTTTGAGATTAAACAACGAATTTTATTGATCTTAAATACCTGAAGTTGCAGTTATAAATGAGACTGTAGGCATTTCTGCCACAGCCTCTTGATATGATGAAGGAGCATCTGGAATAGATTCTGTAACAGAATCTTCAGCTCGCAGTGAAGAAGATCGACTGGGATATAACTCCACTTGATTGGCTGGAAATCGTCTAGATTCGACTTGTTGGAAAAGATAAGACATAGCGGCGTCAATTAACAAAAGTATGTAGATCAGAAAAAGAAGAAACATGCAAATCGTTTTTGGAAATCTGTGAAAGTTGTAAAATTTTTGAAAAAAATTTGAAAAATTGGGAGTTGCCTACCGCAAAAACGGTTGATCTTATACTTAGAATCGAACGAAAGAGAATAAGACCACATAAGGGGATTGTTTGTCGCTCCAAATTTAGGTTGAATGGAGGGATTGGGTGAGCATATTTGGATGCATGTGGCTTACATGAGACCGCATGAACAACCAGAAATTAGCTTGTATCACACATGCTTATCAGATAACAAAATCGATTTTCCAAATCCGGATGCATCTCCGAATGCCCTGAAACAGGAACAAAAAACCAGAAAAAGCGATCTCCTGATTACATATGCATGACTATGAAATTTCTAAATGAAACTAATGGTTCGTGTCTTGAACCTATAAAAATTTGTGATGCAATCATAATTAAACCAATATTTGATTGATTAGAATGATGCAATCACAATCGATCGACTAAATGATTCTTTCTTGTAGATTATCCATGATCTCTAAAACTGGTACTTGTGCTCCTGATTACACATGCATGACTATGAGAATTCCTAAATGAACTAGTGAATCGTGTCTTGAACCTATAAAAATTTGGGATGTAATCACAATTAAACCAATATTTGATCATTCATCCTTTCTTGTACATGAAATAGATTATCTCATAATCTCTGAAACTGGAAAACCGGTACTGATTATGCATACATGACTATGAAAATTCCTAAACGAACTAGCAAATTGTGTCTTGAAACTAAAATTAGGATGTTGAAGTTGCCAAAAATGATTACAAATTACAATTACTTAATCTTAGACTTTTAGAGAATTGATTAGCAACTTTTTAACATCTTAATAAAAATAAATATAAATAGTAATTTTTATTTAAACAATCTTAAAAAAAATGGATTCTTTAGAATTATCTCAACACGTTTTTTTTATAATAATCGAAACAAATTCTTGGTTTTTGTTAACCAATAATATACATTTTTAAATTTCTTAAAATAATTTTATTATAAAATTTTTATATTTTAAAATAAAAAACATGGATATGTGACGTTATATTCAATCTTTAAATCATTTTTAAACTTGTCAACACAAGTAATTATTTCCTTTAAAATGCTGTTAAACCAATGTTTTACATCATTTAGATCCTTGCTTTCATATAGATTATGCATCTCATTTGCCTTAATCAAACATTCGGTAAGATTATATGTTCGGTTATGCGCAGTGTATTCATACTCCATAACACGACAAAGATTAAGAGGTACAAAGAAAAAAACGATAATCCAAATAGCGATTTTCATTCTAAAAAATATTATACTGTCAAATTATAAAATTTTAAATAAAAACTAAAATATCAACTTACATGAACATACGTAAAAGAGATTATTTACAAATAAAAAAAAATCAAGTATAAATATCTTTATTTAATAATTACGTAATCATATTATGTAATCAAATTATATAATCTAATTATTGATGATTTTTACGAAACTATTCTTAACATTATACCCAATATTATTATAAAAATAAAGCCTAATAAACAAAAATAAAATCATAAGAAATAAACATAAAAATAAAATATTATGACGAAATATAAGCTTATTATATTGTTCTCTTTCTTCTTTTCTTTCTGTTTCAATCTTTTCTTCAATTTTTTTTACTTCATCCTTAACGATTCTTTTTACCAAATTCTCAAGCTCAATTTCTTTTTGAATTTTTCTTAAAAAATTTTTAGACCTAAATAAAATATTAATGAAATAAATAAATTAAAAAACAATAAATTAAAAAACAATAAAAAACATACATTATCAATATCACAAAACCGTGTTGAGATAATACTAAAAACATTTTGTTTACAATTGGTTTGTTTATATGCATCATATTTATTTAAATCTAACCTTAAATATTACAATGATTTTTCAGAATATGAAGACAGTGTATCATTTCTGTAAACATGTTGTTCACCCGATGCTTGATGTCATGCATATCTTTAGCCTCAAAGATGTTGTACGTCTTGTTTGCATTACTCAAACACTTTGTTAGATTGAAATTTTTTGAAACAGCAAAAGACTGACTGATTGTGACTAATAAAATGATAAACCAGATGATTTTTATGCTATATCATAAATAATTACGTATTAGTTTTTAAAATATTACATAATAATGAAGGTAAACTTACATGTAATCGAACTATCAGTAAATTGCTTATATAAACCCAACTCTACTAAATAAGATCTATTTAAATAATTGGTTCTCTGGAAAAAATTAAACAATGAGATTCATTCTGTGGCTTTTGATCATTCTTGTGCTCCTGTTTGACATGCAACATGCTGCTGAGATCATCATCGAAATCGAATCACATAGATTACACCAAAACCTGCCAATCCTCCATACATGGGACTTTCATAAAAGCGTTACGTGCCCATACTAAACAAAAACGGAAAGATCACAAAACAATACGAAGGAGGCATCTTTGTGCAGAAATTCGGTAAAGGAGGTAGAGCATATTACGAAAACGTGCATAAGCCAAAAGGACCTGCTCCACCAACAACAACAAAACCAAGACACATGACAACAAAAAGAACCAAAAAAAGAAAAGCCACATCACCAAAAAAAAGAGCCACATCACCAAAAAGAGGCAGACCTCGAAAAAAATAAATAATTATCTTTTTTTTTTTAAAAAAAATAAAGATGTTGAACTTTCTAATTGGTTTGTAATTATTTCTTTCCTTTTTTCTCGCTTTTTTAACAAAAAATTAATAAACTCTTTTTAGAATTCCACCTAAAAATCTTCAAGTTTCACCTGCATCTAAATGAAATGATATACCAAATTTACTGTAATTTTTACACTTTATACATGCATCTCTACGTTTTAATATACTCAACGTTGTTCAAAGAAATGGATATTGTGAGACTTGAATGAGACATTGATCTTTCATTAAATTTATTGGATATTAAATATGATAAAAATATTAACATAAATCAAAAAATGTATCTGTTAGTTAAAGCGTGTAATGATATTAATAATATTTTCAATATAAATAAAGTATAATTTTTATCAAATAAAACATCAAAAATGAGTTCCTCTCAGAAAGATTCTCTTGATACTAAAGTTGAAACCTTAATTAAAACTAAAAAAAAATATGAAAAAATGAAAGAAAGAGTTGACAAATACTTTAATGAACAAGAAGGTAATTAAAATTATTCCTTTTTTTTTTTAATTAATACTAAAATAAATTAATTATTAGAAAAGTTATCTGATGAAAAAAAAAATGAATTTATTGATAAATGTCTCGAGACATATATTGAAGAACATGGAAAAGAAGTCGAATCTATTAAAAATATAAAAGAAAATATCTTAACTTTTTTATCAGAGAATTTTTTTGTATCATTAGAAGATGATCTTTATAAAACTAAATACAAAGAAATCTATAATATTTTTTTTACCGATTTTGGAGAATCTCCAGATAAAAAAAATAATCTAGAAAACCACTATTATGCATTGTATAAATCTCAAGAATTTCTTCATTGGATTGCTATAAATTTTCTTCTTTACATATATTAATAAAAATAATAAAATAAAAATGTCTACTGAAGAAAAGCTTGATCAAATATTATTGGAACGTGAAAATTTAAGAAAAGAATTAGAAGCTTTAAAAAAACAGGAAGAAGAAAGAAAACAAAGAAAAGAAGAAAAAGAAAGAAGAAAAAAAGAAAAAGAAGAAGAAAAAGAAAGAAAAAAAAGAGAAAAAGAAAAAGAAGAACTAAGAAAAAAACAAGAAGAACTAAAAAAAGAAGAAGAAGAATTGAAAAAAAAGGAAGAAGAACTGAAAAAAAAAGAAGACGACGACTTAAAAAAACAAAAAGAAGAAGAACTTACATACGAAAGCGATTATTATCCAGATGATGAAAGCAGAAAATATCAAGATATTTACAATAATATAGTAGTTCGTCCTGATGGAACTCCACGATTACCCAGAAGAGATTCAGAATAGATTTTAATAAAAATATTTTTATTTAAAATAAAATTTAAAATTTTTATAAAATTTTACATTAAAATAAAATTTAAAATTTTTATAAAATTTTACATAAAAATAAAAAAAAATAAAATTATTCGTATGTATAATGATCGCGATCGTCTCGCTTGATACGCCTAATTTCCTCCTCCAACCTCTCCAACTTATTAACAAAAATGATCCTCAAAACGGAAACTAATCTTCAAATCCTTTAACATCTCATGTAATTTTCGTTCACTCTCTCTAAACTCGCGCTCACGACGATGTTCAGAATAATGATGATGTGGAGCATGAATCACAATATGCGCACTTTTTTCATCTTCTGGTTTGAATTCTTCTTCCCTTCTTTCTTCTCCTCTTTCATTGTGTTCTAATTCTTCCTTAATAATTCTTCTTACACGATCATCATGAGTCTTGGATGATTCTTCTCTTACAATTCTGTTAATTTTTTCTTCAACTATTCTTCGAATAATTGCTTCATTCTGTTCCTCGACAATTTCTTTAACGAGATTATTAAGTGTTTCACTATGATTGTTGCTCATTTTTTTTTTTAGTTTTTATTGTAATAAAATATACAGGATTTAAATAAATAATTTATTTATATTATTATTATAATGCACGTTTACAATGTAAATTCAATCTGATTATACAGATACAACATAAAAAATAACTATAAAACTATATAATAAAAATTGTTAGAAATTATTCTAGTCTAAAAAAACATGTGCTGGTGCTGGGGAAACTGGTGGAATAGAGGTGCGGTGGTCGAAGAAGATGGAGAAGACGAAGATGGAGAAGAAGAAGACCCTGTCGCCAATGTTCTGTAACCTACTACCAACCCCAATATCATTATACTACTACCACAACTACCACCAACAGTGAAAAGGAGAAAGAAACAGAAACAAAGCTCAAAGAATGTCGTAAAAAGGAAAAAGAAACAGAAACAAAGCTCGAAGAATGTCATAAAAAAGAAAAAGAAACAGAAACAAGAATCAGAGAGTTGGAAACTAAAGTGAAAGAAACAGAAACAAAATTTCAAGAATCAATCAAAGAACATGAAAAACTCACCGAAAAGATCAAAGAATGTGAAAAAAACATGGAAACCATATGAATAAAAATTCATGAAAGTTTAAAAATCCTTGAAATCAAGTTTAATGAAAATGATAATATCATCGTATACATCGATCTCTTACTTGAAGCGATAAAGAAACTTCCAAATCTAGGACCAGAAACCATAAGAGAAATTGATGAGGTGCTTGCTTCTTTAATTAATGATTTTAATCATTCTGAACCAATCAGTAAAAAAATTGAAAGCCTTGTTGCACAATGTAAAAAATTTGCCGTTATCAAAAATAAAATTGATAACAATTGATTTTTTTTTTTTATTAATAAAAAATTATATAAATAAATAAAATAAAATAAAAAAATAAAAAATAAAATGTCTAACAACGGTGAAAAACTTACTGCGACTACACTAAAAACATTACCAATACCCAGTGGTAGTGGTCTCGCAGACCGCATTTAAGGAGATTTTAACAAGTTAACCAATGAAATAAAAAAATTAAAAAAAGAAAACGAAGAACTAAGAAAAGGAAACGAACCATTAACAAACCAAATAACTAATCTAACTAACCAAATAACCAACCTAACCAACCAAATAGCCACCTTAAAAAAGGATAATGATAAACTGAAACCACTCAAAGAAGCAAATGATAAACTAAAGACGCAAAATGCTGATTTACTAGCTGATAACAAGACCTTAACCGATCAAAACAAAAAACTATCTGATAAAAATGCGAAACTTCAAGATGATAACAATAAACTCACGTTCGAGAACTTGAACTACGAAGATACCTTAAAGAAAGTAAACACCGATGCCAACTTAACCTTAGACTACTTTGCCGCAAAATATGATAAAGATGATAAAATTGAAGAAAAAATGAAACTGATAGTTTACTGGACAGAAAAATTATTTGAGGTAAAACCCATTGAAACGAGAAGAAAAAAGTAATTTTTATTAAATTGTAATAAAATATATAAAATAAATACAGATATAAAAATGTAATTTTACATTGTAATGTTTGTTAAATCAAAGTATCTGTCCTATTGCGTCTCATTGTATTGGGTGTAATTAAAAAGATAAACCCTGAAAAAAAAATAATACTTTCTCAAAACAAGATCAAAATCAAGCCTAAACATCCTAAACAAATGCCAAGTGTTGAAATCTAAAAGCCAAAACCAACCAACCGGCCATATAGAGCATTCCAAACACTCGATAAGATAAAAAAAATACCAAATTCCAACAACAAGTGATAACATATATATGATAATTATCCTGAAATAATTACTTCTAATAAATTTTAAAATATGATAATGATAATATAATGAAATGTTCTCTGTCTTATAATTTTCTAACTGCTCGTTAATCTCTCTCAAAGTCTCATTTTCTTTAACTATTTCCTCAACATAATTAGTTATTCTTGGGATCAAATCGGTATTCTCCATCCCAACACGTGTACTTGCAATCTAACTTACTATAAAAAAAGAAAACTTCTACAAATACAAAAATCAAAAATATTGTGATCATATGATAGAATACTATGATAAAAATTTGTTTTAATGTTTGTAAAAATAGGTTAAAAAGTGGATATTTCCACGTTAATATCTCCGAAACTTGATTTTGATAGTTTTGCAACTGCTCATTTCTCTTCCTTAACAATTCGTTCTCTTGACGTAATTCATCAAGTTCACCTTGGAGACGTAAAATATTGGCCATTTATATAATGAAATCTAACTGGTCAAAAATATTGTTTACTTTATATTCTAATCTTTCATCGTTCACACGTTCAACCAAAATTCGATAAATCACGTAGACAAACTGATTCTTGTTTAACGGGCCCGGTAATATTTTATACTTAAAATCTCCTTCAGGAGCAAATTTGAGGAATGCTCCCATTCCAGTAACATCAGGTTGCTTGTGAAACTGTTCAAGTACCAATTTTTTTATCTCGTTTAACTCATCATTATTCGTTTCAACCACCTCTTTATAACATGACATAACAGAGTCTACCGCACCCAATGGATCTGGACTATTTATCGTATTAATCACCCCTTGTCTAAACTATTTAATCAACTTCTTAAACTCGCTATTACTAATCTTGAGTGGTTTGCGTTTCTTATTAAGCTTCTCATCAATTCTTTTTAGTAATTTCTCATCATCCTTCACAAGATCACATGTTGAATTCAACAAAATTTTGATATCATCTGTTGCTAATCTCACAACCAATCTGAGAATTTGAATAGTTATCTTGTCTCCAAAAAAGCTACGTAACTTTGCATATATCTTATTCTTTGTCTTTAATATCTTGGTAATCAATTGCTTAACATCCTCAAAAGATGCTTTTGATGTATCGAGAAAGACACTTCTATACTCTAGATCATCCGGATCAACAAAATAGTGATCACGTTCTTCGTCTTTGTAAATGTCATTAATAGAAGTCCTAATCTTTTGATACTCCGCTTTTTGCATATCTGACAGTTCTGTTGATGATTTTATCATCTGATCCAACAGATTATTATCCTCCAATGAACTGTTAAATTTGCCCTGGAGAAATTCTCTAAGATATCCAAGAAGTATTTTTTTAATATTATTGTTGTTATGATTTTTTTTATCTTTATCGTCTAATTTCTTGTCTTTATCGTCGTCTAATTTCTTATCTTTATCATCTAATTTCGTGTCTTTATTGTCTAATTTCTTGTCTTTATCGTCTAATTTCTTGTCTTTATCGTCTAATTTCTCATCTTTATTGTCTAATTTCGTGTCTTTATCATCTAATTTCTTGTCTTTATCGTCTAATTTCGCGTTTTTATTATCTATTTTTTTATCTTTATCATTGTTTGCTGGTGCGCTTGATAAAAGAGAATTTAACCGATCTCGACATTCTTGTTGTAATTGTTCCTTTGTTCTCGGTAAATCTAAATATTGTTGATCAATCTCTTGTATCTTCTTATTATATTTTCCCCATCGACAAGTTCTTTTGCATCATTCTCCTCCTTAATCAAATCACTCAATAAAATGTATAATAGATTATTAAATTTATTTTTTCTAAAATCGATCAACCTTTGCTTGCTTCTCTGATCACCCAATAAAGTTGCGTTCAATGTCAATATATCACTCGCAAGTTTGCTTGTATCATCTAGATCAACAAGCTGGGATTGTCTATAATACTGATTTATCAACCTTTGATAGCTATCCTACTTACCAACCTCTAATTGGCTCAATAAAGAATCTAACAAGCTAACTCGTAAACGTTGAAGATCGTTCACATCTCTTCCTCCTGTTAGATTGATATTTTCCAATTGTCTGATTCGTCTATCAATCCTCGAACCATCTTGTAATTGTGTTGGATTTTTAATACTAGGAAGCTCATTCTTAATTTGGTCATAGTACTGATCTGATAATTCTTGTAACTTTTCAACTCTAAACTGTTGTAAATTTGCTTTCTAAATTGAATTTAGCACATTATCAGTTCTTATTCTACGATCCCAATATCCATTACTTTCCAAATTAGCTATAGATGTGTCCTTCCTTATTCCATCTCTTATCATTGTAAAAGCATCCATATCACTAACAGAATTCTCTAACTCTTTTATCTCACTTCACATAATTCGTTTAATTCACCTTTATCTTCCGATGTGAAATTTGAATTGTTTATCGTATTTTTCCAGTAATTTTTAATCTATCCAAATCTTTTTCTTCAGATATATCATTGTAAACCTTCTCGTAATCTTGTCTGTAACGTAATCTATTCAACCGAATATTCTGCAATTCATCTTTTAACTTATCATTCAACAAAAGATCACCTATTATCTCAATATTCCAAAAACCACCATCTTGTAGCTTTGGAATTGACGTTTCTTCACTAATGTCCTTCGCTAAATTATTAAACCTTGATAACATCGCGTATTGCCCTCATCGCAAACTTTGCAACACATTTTGCTTCTCAATTGGCAACTTTGAAGTGATGATTGATTGATCTATCATTTCACCATCTTCCAGAGCACCAATATTGTATTCATTCTGAATCATATTTCTTAAATTGTCAAAAGTTTCATCATCGTCAATGATTGGAGGTGGTTCAACAGGAGGTTCAACAGGTGAAGAGACTAACTGATGCGCTATTGAATACAGTCCAGTTAGAAATTCCTCATAATATTCATCATCTTTACTACGTGCGATTTTTTGTCGTTTAGTATCAACATAATCACAATCATGAAATTTCCCAGCATTAGTTTTACAATATGATCGAGCAGACATTGTTTAAAACTAAATATTTATTAATCAAAAAGAGAGATATTTATACAAAAATAAAATCTAAATATTTTATCAATTTAATAAAGAGATATTAAAATCAAGTATTAACTTGCATTCTATCCTTATCACAACACTTCTTGAGCATGCTAAACAATCCCTGTAACCCTCCCATGCTAGAAGGATCTAATCGCCACGCAGCCTCAATAGATCCACCGCTAATAAACGCAGATATTCCAGAATAACCTAATTCTAGTTTAGCTTCATTACCAAATAACGATCTCTCTGGTCCTTCAAATCTACATAACCTCATCTTATACATCCAATCAGAATAATCTATCACTATTGCTAACATAAAATTCCCTTCTGTGTATACTATATTTTCTCCAGTATTTCTTGATAAAACACATATTCTATGGTTCAAATCAGCACATAAAACCAAACTTTTTGTTTGAAAATCACATCTAGTGTCACATGAAAATTCCAATTTTTCCTCCGCTATTGGTTTGAAAGGATCTCGAAACCGAAGCCTATCTCCTAATTCATTTATGTCAACAAAGAGCTCCTCCAATGAATAACTCTTTTTTTTTGCCATCATCTCATCGCAAATTTGTACGATAAAAAATCTTATTGTCATAGGTTCCATTAAACCCACAATATTAGTCGTACCAGTTTTGGTTGGTAATTCAATTGTAGAAGCAGTATTGCTCACAGTAATCTGAAGATCTATCGAGATATCCAACATTATCAAATGATCAACAGTTTTCAGTCCTTAAAAAAGAGGAAAGGTAAGCACATTCGAGAATATAGTATCCCAAAAATAGCACCTTCCCTGTGCCTTATCTTTAATAACTCCAAATTTTCCTTCATCAACCTCTGTACCAATGGTCCTCTTCTTTCGACAAGCATTGTATTTATCCACGTTCCCACAATAACCAACATGACATAAAGGAACTGATTTTCTCGTTGTTTTCACTGAACCTTCAGCACCCTTAATAGTTTTAACTGTTTTTTTCTTTCTAACAGGAGCCATCTATCATTTCTTTCCACAACCTAAACAATAAGGTCCGTCAGATGATTTAATTGTCTTTCTTTTAACAAGCGGTTTGTTGTGTTTTACCAAACTTTTTGAAGTTAACTTTTTCTTTGTCTTTTTCAGTTTTCTCTTCTTTGAAATCGGTGCCAGTTTTAACTAATTAAGTATGAGTCAATCGTTCTTAAACCTTCAGAAATTATCAACCTGATCGTTGATATGACTTGTAAAAATCCAGTTTTTAATAAAATATTTAGATACGAAAAATCAGATTTTATGATATTGAACAAGAAAATTGATAAGATAATTATTAACAATGTAAGAAAAATGATTAACAAAGCACTTATGACCACGTCTAATTTAATCTTTGCTCTATAAGTCTTTTCACAATCATCAAAATTTTCCATTTAAAATTGAACAACAAAATATCGTTTCTATTTATACATTTTTGGGATTTTCAAAACTATTCTTCCATTGCTTGGCTATTTTTTTCAATATTTCATCATTTTTATACCCTTGTTCTACCAGTTTATTATATTCCTTCTGAACGTAAAGATTGTATGCGCTTAACTTTTTCCCTTCAGGTTCAGGTTTTTTCTTCTCGTTTGGTGACTCAGATTCTGACTCGGATTCTTCCGTAGATTCCCCTTCAGACTCTATTTCAGATTCTATTTTATTCTTTACTCTCCTGACTATTATTTTCTTATCATCAATGCTTTTTTCAAATTTTAACCTCGCAGTCTTCTCGATATTGTCATAAAAATGAATCACCCAGAGAGGATCAAGTGAAAATAAACCTTTCATCATAGCCTTTTGACTCTTTGCTTTTCTAGTCACTTCCTCTTTTTTTCGCGTCAATATCTCAATTTTATCCTTCTTTACTTTGGGCATCACAACACAGTCTTGAGGAATTCTCTTAACAAACGTTCGAATTTCTTGAGAAATATTCTTTCTTTTTTCTTAGTAATCACTTTTTTTGGTGTTGTCTTTTGAGGAGCTGTTCGCTTTTTAACTCTTGGTTTATTAGGTTTTTTCCTTGATTTAACCTTTAAGAGATAATCATAAGCCTCTTTTATCTTGCAAAATTTATCCTGAGCGTAACTTGATTTGTTCTTATCTGGATGAAATTTCAATGCTAGTTTTCTGTAAGCCTTCTTAATATCCTCCAATGACGATGTTCTCTTCACACCTAAAATCTTGTAGTATTCTTGAATTGACATTGAAATAAAAATGAGAAACCAGAACTTTATATAAATAGAGGAGATGAAAAATTAATAAACAAAAAAATGGAAATCAAAAAACTTTATCTCTTAATCTTGTTGATATTTATAATTCAATGCTGTAATTGTCACTCTCGTCGAACAAGAAAAACAAAAACCAGATACGAATTTTAATAAACATAAAAAATGAATAGCATGAAATTGATGCAAGATATCCTGTTTAACGAAGAAAAATGCATCAAATTTATTATAGAAAAAGATCTAATTCACAAACCAAAATGTCAGAATTGTAATAATGAAGAATTTTCAAGATTCAACAAGATATATAGATGCAAGAATCAAAACTGTCGAAAAACAATATCAATCGTTAGAAATTCATTTTTTAAAAAGAGCAAGATGGAAATCTGTGATATTTTAATGCTAGGTTACCTCTGGTTGAACAGGATAAACTACACCTCAATCAATCTTATAACTGACCAATCACATCACACGATAGTCAAGTACATAAAAATGTTTAGAGATCTGGTCATAAACACGTTGGAAGAGAATGACATGATTATCGGTGGAAAAGATATTATCGTGGAAATCGATGAGAGCAAGTTCAAGAGAAACAAAGATTTTTGGGTGGTTGGTAGTGTGGAAAGAACCGAAAATAAGAAATGTTTTTTTGTAGTAGCAGAGAATAGAAATCAACAAACACTCAAAATAATCATCAAAAAACATGTGAGACCCGAATCGATCATTCACACAGATTCATGGAAAGGCTATTTTCATCTGGAAGAACTGGGTATGACACATAAAAGGGTTAACCATTCACAGATACCACAATACAGAGGAAACATTCACAATAATTACATCGAAGGAACCTGGGCCGCGTTAAAATTATTCATCAGAGAACAAGACAGAAGTCAGAACAAGATTGAAAAATATTTACTAGAATTCATCTGGCGAAACAAATATAAAAATAATTTGTTCAATGCTTTATTAGATGCTATAAAATCTTACAAATATTAAATAAATACAAAATTTAAACAGGATATCCATTACAATTGCCTGTTTTTTTATCATGATTGAATTTAAATTCTATTGCTACTGCTTTTGTTTTAAAATATTTTCACTTGTATTTGTTTTAAACAATTTACAATTTAACTGACTGTATTTTTTCCAATCTGTGATAACTTCTTCCAGTAGGATTCTGGCATTTTTTAAACTTTAAAACTTCTTTATTCTTAAATTTATATACTTTCTTGATTTTGGTTTTGTTTGTACGCTGATATGGGATGCCCGATCGTTGATGTCAATCGTTGATGACATCATTGATTCGGCTACGACCCCGTCTCGTCCCAAATCGCAGTAACAAACGTCACCAAAATCGACTACTCTCCTGATAATTTAATATTATCCTTGAAATTGCTGGGGTCGCTTCGCTGGACGTGCTTTTCAAGAAAAGCGCGGCAAAAGTTGTGCAGTAACTTTGCTACGATGTGACAAACGCCTCGGTGACGTGATATATTTTGCAAACTAAAGTTTGCAAAATATCTAACGTTGGCCTCATTTTCATCACATCTCACAAAGTAACTTTCAACAACCATTCACAATAAATATAAAATGTGTTTATTTAATGTTGACTATAAATATTTATTAAATATTTATTTAAAAAATATGTTTATTTGTTTATTATTTCAATGTTAAGATCTCGAAAATCAAATTTACAACCATTCTTAAACTTAATATTTTCAACATTTGTTCCTGGATACAGTAATTCTAACAACAATTTTTTGCTCTTTTCATCAATAATGTTATCTTTTTCAATAATGAATTTATACTGTTTGATGAGAGGCTTGTAAGAACGATCGACTAAAAACTTTTTACTTCTTGATATTCTAACTTGCAAATATTCTGTTATATGCCCGTTATCATCAGGAAACATCAAAGGTCTTCGATAATTTACAGTTTCATCTTCCTGATACTACCAAAATTCTTCTTTTTTCAATAACTTATCGTTAAAGATAGTATCAAAATTAGGATCAGAGCTAGCATCGGAGTTAGAATTATCAGATATTTTGTTATGCTTGAAAAGTGCGTCAGCGTTAGCAAACCTCAGCAATTTCAAGGATAATATTAAATTATCAGGAGAGTAGTAATAGTAAGAGTTAGTATTAATGTAAGGAAAACGAATGACCAAACAAAACATGATTGGAGTCCTCCCACCTTTGAAAAAATAGAATTTAACTGAGAAATAGTAAAATTTATAGATTTATATAGTTTTTAAAAATTATGGGATATTTAATTTTATTGGTTATTTAAAAATAAGGTATTTTATGAGATCAGTAGAGGAAATGCTTAACAACGAATAGGGTTTTTTTAGATGAATCTGACACGGTTTCGAGTATAGAAAACACATGTATGTCATGAAGATATTCGATTGAGATGGTGTAGTTGTAAGAAGATTTGGTACAAGATTTAAAGGAATGTCAAACTTTCAAGCTCGATAAAAGCTTGTTTAACAGCTCCTCATGATAACCGTTCTTTTGCAAACACTCAATGATACGCGACGATTCTTCTTGTTTTTTGTAGAATTTTATTATATCACAATAGAGAATTATTGGTAAAATATTGTGGTCAAATTTTTGATATTTTAAAAATTTCATAATGAAATACAAGTAGTGAAGTAAAAAAAAAAGAGAAAGAAAAAAGAAAGAGTTAAAGAAAAACTAACACAAGCATTATAAATATTCGATCAATCGAAACTTCTCATTACAATCCCAGCATAGGAGATGCGCGTGATTCTCATACATAACACCAAATATTTCACCCGCGAGATAACAATCACATTCATCAATATTACACTCATAATCGCTCCTAATAAGTCTCAGATACCTTGCAGTGTACGTTAATTTCTTACAATCATTACAAACCGTCTTCAAAAAATTCTCGGTGATCATAGATGTGTCCACAAGAAAAAAGAGTCCATCGTATATAGATTGCATATATTGAGGTAAAGATACAAAATAACTCCCATAATCATAAATACCATTGCTAAATTTTACCTCCGCTAGCTCATCTTTTCCTTCAAATGAAAAGGAAATGTAGACACCATATTCCGTTATGATCAAGTCGTAGGGAATAAATTCCGGTAGTTTATGCTCATAAAAATTAAATTTTTTCATCAGACAATATTCGATCTTGGGAATTTTCTTACAGAGAGCATTCCACAATCTAGAAACAGTCTTCAATTGTCTGAATCCGGAAACACGATCAAACAAAGACACCCCTTTAGGAAAAACAAATGATAAAATCAAAATTAATATTTCGTTTGGTAAAATATTTATCAATTGAGATTTTGTTTTTTTTACAATTGAAACATGATCAATTTTACTTTTTTTGGATGACATCTTTGTGAAATAAAAATAATAAAAAAATATTGTGTTTATATAAAAATAATATAAAAAATAAAAAAAATACAATAAAATAAAAATAATAATAAAATATAGAAAATTACCAAATGTGAACAGTCTACATTTGGAAAAAAGTGAATTACTAAATGTGAATTTCTACATTTGGAAATAATGCTAAACCAGAAAAGTGATAGTGAAATTGCCAAATGAAATTACCAAAAATCCCAAATAATTGATCAGAAGGTGGGTCGTCAGAACGAATCGTTAACGATCATAGCCATCACCGTCTTCTCCGTCTCGTTGAAGCATGATTCACAGAAATCATGATGATGCATGCATGAATTCATGTTGAAACAAAGCATCAAGTCCTTGTTTTTGTCATTCAAAGGACAACTCTCGATCCCACAACAATTGTTTAAGACCAATGTTCCAGCCCCACAGAACTCCAACTTTCCACATCTCTGACAGAATCGTTTTCTAATGTTGGAAATATCATCGACAAATTTGAGAAAGATATTTTCGTATGAATTAATAGGTGAAACGCAAACCCTTCGTTTAAGTTGATCCCTGAATAACTGTTTTCTCACGGGTTTAGTCTTCACACAATCCACGTTATCTGAGATACATTGTGAACAATTATACGTCTTTCTTACACATCTCAACCCCTTCTGTTGACAGTGATGACAACTAGAATTGTTGGGCCATACAACGCAGATCTTCTTATTCCTGTGACAGTAGAGACACGATATTCCCCGATTGCATTTTCTTTGCTTCTTGTTCACACAGTTATCACATCTCTGTGAATAGATGAGATCGAAATAAACATAGGTCCTGACCCTATTCTCCACAATTTTTTGAAAATTAAAAATCTTATGCACCTGATTGTTTTTCACTGAAAAAAAATGAAAATATTTTGGATCTTTCGTGAATCTTTTATACCAAATCCTGAAAAATCTACATGTAAACCCCAAATTAAACATATCCTGTTGCCTGTTTAACGATGTTAGTATGTGTCATAAAATCTCAACAGGGAAAACCCTGAAAGCTCCAATATCAGATTTAACCATTATGAAATACAAAAGTATAAAATATGAAGTATAAATACGAAGAATTTTATTTATATAATAAATTGAGGTTACATGAGAAATCAATCCTGAAAGATACAAACAATAGGATCAAAATTGGTTTTTCTAGTTACAGAAGAGGAATTTTGTTGATAACAACGCTTACATATACGATGAAAATGCGCTTTTTCTACAGTCGTACACATGAATATCTTACACTTGTTTTCCGAAACATGCTCGTTCTCACAGAACTCAAACTGCCAACACCTATCACAATAAACCTTGAAATAATCCGTCGGATTCTTGAGATCGCACTTAAAAACAAAACTCTTCCCCTATTCGAAAGTCGGATTACGACAGTACGGGGAATAGAATTGATCCCATTTTATCCTTCGACGTCTCTTCTTCTCACAATGAATAAAATGAACATAGCTGTTCGTCTTGGTGAATTTATATACTTTTATCTGTCTCGAACTAATATAACTATAGAAGACATGTTTTTTCGGATCCAAATTGAATCGCTGTCGAGTGTATGAATTATAAATTTCAAGAAATGATTTACACGTATATTTTATTTTATCTTGTTCATATGGTGTTAAAAATGAAAAGATTATGTACAAGATGTGAGAATTGTAAAAGATCATTGTATTTAGATACGTAATAAAATCGATAGAAGGTGAACCTCGATTCACTTCCTATCGACCAGATTTTCTAGAACTGCCTATACAAGAACACCCATATCCTCCTTCACAAACATCCGAATAAACATAATTTGTAATAACATTATTTGAATTTATAATAAAATTATCTGAAATTTTAACTGGATTTACAATAATATTATCTGAATTTACAACTGGATTTACAACCATATTATCCGAGTTTACAACTGAATTTACAATAATATTGTTTGAATTTGAATTATCGGCAGTCCTAATTCGCTTGAAAAAGCTATCGATCTTCATCTGTCTCTCATCAACATCAGCACGTTTTCGTTTGTTGATCAACCCTAACCCTGAAGAGGGTTTGGAGAATTTTTTTGAAGGATAAATTGGGTCTTCGTCATGTTTTCGTTTCAACAAAGATATTGGAGCACATCCATCTGTTAAAACCTGACCTAAACGGGTCTGAACGAGTGTTTGAGTGTTTGTAATATAGATCTCCTTAATCAGTCACGTAGCATTCTTCACATCCACCCTCAACAAACTGGCGATCACATCCTTCAAACTCTCAAAGTAGTAGAGGATGTCAATCTTGTGTTTTAATGGATCAAACAATTCACGCAAACACATCCGTTCTGATACATTTTTTGCACTTGGTTTTTCGATTATATAGTAGAAATAACGTCCGGTTCCAACTTTTGACCGTGTTTATCCAAATCCGCCTCGAAATTTATCGAAGACTTATTGCCCTTCTTAGAAATCGGCCTGTGCAACTCCATATTCCAAAAGTCTTTGACACGTGTTCTTTGATACTTTTGATTGAATCTTGCCGACAAATCGAACATTTCCATGTCATCCCGATAGTCCGTTCTTCTGATGTACTTGGTTATTATATTAACGATCGTCTCTTTAATAATCTCAGGAGATAATTGAAAAAGAAAGGTATTGGTCTCCTTATCAATCCCCAATATCGACCATATCATCTCCTTGACAACCATCTTGTAAAACTTTGGAACGTTCTTCTTCACCATACGAATACCCTTGAGCAGCAGAATAAAATTATCAAACATCACCTCAAACTCATGCTTCATACCCAAATATTGTTTCTTTTCGATAAACAAAACCGGAAACAATGTCTTTTCATATGCCATCACCATATATGGATGACCAGTAAGCTCTATCATATGTTTGTTAACAATTCCTTCCATATGCATCGAATATTCTATGGTTTTCTTGATCATAGCCGACCATTTTAATTGGTTTATCTTGTTTTTGATGAACGAAGAGACACGTTTTTTTGAGTGATAAAAGGCGATTATGTGTTTGAATTGGTGTAGAGGTATGATGTAAAAGACGGAATCTGTATCGCCATACATCACTATGCAACCGATGCTCTCCAAGAATTCTATAACCTTTCTCAAACACCAACATGGAAATCCAGTTATCGATGCTGCCACCTTCTCATCGTATAATGGTGAAAACACATACCCATTCACTTCATATAATGAATTTTCCACAACCTTTAAAGCATTCGACAAGGACTCGTAACGTGACAAAGAAATAAAATCATTTGCTTTTTTTGCTTCTTTTATATTTTTTTTTGCTTCTATCCTATCGTTTAACAATCCTAATGAGATTTTTGGCATCACCCCAAATTTTTCCTTGTCACCATCATGTGGTTTAAACCCAGAGATAACGTAAACACCATCGGTTACGATGTTTGAATCATCGTACTGTGATTCATCCAACTTGGTTTCCCTTGAGATGTTCTTTGTGATTATCACGTTGGGATACATGGAATTGAAATCTAAATCTGCCACTGGATACATCTTTCCATCAATCATCGGTATCATCATCTTTGGTGGTATAACCAAACCACCAACATACTTTTTGATTTCGATCTCGCCTTTCCTTTTCATTGAAATCAACATGTTCTTTTGTGATGCCGTTCTTCCATAAATATTATTCACCAAACACCCAACACCGTTCATAAAAACATTGGAAATAGTAACGCAAGTGAGCTTGGCAAACTGGATATAATCATTGATGATGTTTCGTTTTATTATCAATTCCTGACAACGTAATGAATCCATGGAACAATAATATGCCAACTCGACACTATAATGTGATAGCATATCGTTATCAACTTGTAATGATGAGAGGCATAAATCGTAGTCGATGCTGCATTTTTTCGATAATTTTAACGCGATCTCTTGTAATCTTTCACGATCATCTTTGTATTTGATCGCATTTACGTAAACATACATGGAACGAAGATCTTGACTTTTAGATTCCAGAAAATATGGTAAGTCGATCTTTTCAGAAAGACCACATCTCTGCAACACGATCTTGAGCGTATTCTTTATCTCCGTCTTAAATTCCTTTCTCGCTCACACATAAAGATCAAAAAATACAGTTCCCGGAACCTTGAAATACTCGACTTTCATTGTCTCCATCGGATTAGCCTTTATGTCTCGCTTGAGTATATTCATCCCCGTGAACTCATATTTCTTCATCTTTGCCTTAATATCCCTCTCAACCACCTGAATATCAAACTCTTGAATGGATGTAGAAGTGATCGAGTTAAACTTTAGATTGTATCTCGATAGCATCTTTTGCATGAATTTTTGTATGATATTTTTGTTAGATTTGGTTGGTATTCCTTTATTTAATTCTTGCAAGTCACCTAATAGTTTAACTTTTTTTAAAAGGAATGACCAATCGTATCCTCCTGTGTTGAATCCATACTCAAAATCCGGTTAGTAATAAGAGAAGATAGTAGCGAATCCCAACAAGAGATCTGATTGGGAGTTATAGAATTTGATCTCGAATACATCAGAAAAGATCAATGAACCATATCGTTGAAACAGCAAATCTTGATTAATAGGAATGGTGGTGAGACAGTATCTTTTCACTGGATCTCGTTCAAAAATCCAATATAAATCAACCTGAATCATGTAAACCTCGTCTTCCAGTTCATCACCAACCGGAAAATAACCAGGACCTCGATTTGAAAGCAACTCGATATCCCACGATAACGAGAGAATCTTTGGTTGTTCCTTATGCTCAACACGTTCAATATCAGAAAGTTCAACCTTCATGTAATCCTTTAATATAAGTCTTTGCAACGTGCCGTCTTTTTCGGTATAATATTTTTCCTTCAACCGGTACCATCCTACCAACTCAAAATCATTTTCACGTGCCATTTTTCGATAATAACAAGTTCGATCATCTGAATAGGTATCATAATGTAACCAGAATTCTTGTAATTTTTTCTTCAAAAAAGTCTCTTCTAATTCCAAATCCTCAGCGTTCATGATTACTTTTTGATTATTCTCATCTAATTCTTTTCCCTCCCGTATACGATTTATTCGTAATAATTTTGAATTTAATTCCTTTTCGATATCGTCGATCTTATCTAATGCATTCTTCCTCGACTTGTGATTGTTATAATACAAACGCAACATGAGAAATTCTTGTTCAGAATCAAATGTTTTTCTACAGATAGTCTCGTAACTTTCTGGATTCAACTTAGAAATGTAGTTAGGAATAAGAGTTGAATCGACCAATTTGATGTTGAAAAAAACACCACCAGTCTTCATATCTATCCTGATCTTTCATCCATCTTCCCTAACTGAATACAATCGCAAGAGATATTGCACATCATCTTTTGCATCCTCGTAACCAAAAAAACTGTACTCTGTTGTGTCAGTAGCATCGTAAATGTAGAATAACGAAGATTCTATCTGGTTTATAAGATCAGAACGACACGATATCAATTTAGAAAACATTGTATACAAGAAATTAAAGATACGTAATTTATTTTCTTTTCGGTATCTTGAGATACTGAAAAGAATAACCAATTTTATTTAAATATAATCACATATATACAGAATATAAAAAATAAAACAAAATATAAACAAAATAGAAGAATTTAGCTAAAAATCTTGTCCAACTCTGTGTCATACTCGCTCAACTTTTTGGAACTATCGAACAACACATGACCAGGATACATATGAAATATTGACGTTTCGTAGGCTCTGTATACATCCCGTAAATACTCCTCACTGCATTTTTCACCCTCGCGATTACGTTTCTTCTGCCTCTCAATCATCAACTTCTCCTCACAACGAACATAAATCACATGATCAAAATCATGATCATACACTATAGAACTACGCCTCAAGTTCAAATAATCTAACCTCATTGGATCAGAAATAACGAGATACGTGAAGATTTCGGTGTCTAAATGTGTCCTGTCTATCACAACAACATCATATTCACGTAATAGATTGCTGACCTCCAACAAAGAGTTTTGATACTCTTCCAACAACCGATCCTGAAACATGAAGCCATATTTCTTCTTATCGGTGTAAAAAATCTTCAATTCCTCTTCGAGCTTCAATGACATCTCTGTAAAATAATGCACCTTTTTACCTTTTCGTTCAAAATATGGTTTCAACGCTTTAGTGACAAGATGCGTCTTTCCAACCCCAATACATCCGGTGACAATCACAAGAAGACTACTATCGGATTTTCTTTTTTTTTTGCTTTTTAAATACAGGTTTATCATCAACAAGTTCGATATCGGAGTTGTAACTTCTCTTCATGGTTCTCATTGTTTGATCTTGCAGGATCTTCTTCACGTAGTATTGGTTCACAAATTTTTCTTGCAAATATTTATAAAGAGTATTGTAAAGTAACGCAAGTTCATCAACATCCACTTGTTGATAATTTTTTTGTTTTTTCTCTCTTACAACTTGCTCATAATTCGGTAAATCGTCATTCTTTCTCTTCAAAACATTTGTCGAAGAACCAGAACCAATATCCTGTTTTCCAGTCTCACCAGAATCCTCAATAACAATAGGATCATTCTTTCGACCTTGAGAAAGAAAAGATCGCCTCGTATAGAAATATCATCTCCAACGTCTCCTCCAAGTTTAAAGAATCCATCAATATTAACTTGTTTATCAAAAGCTCGACGTTTTTTTTCTCAACAATTCGATCATTGTTATACATGATTCCATCATTATCAATAGAAAAATCCAATTCCTCACGTTTATCTTGAGTGCAATTGAAAGATATTTTTTGAGAGAAAATAAAGAATAATAAAATTGAAATTTGAAGAATAAAATAAAATTTGAAAAATATATTTGGAAATAAACAGAATCTCTGTTGACGCAACGTAAAATCTGTACGGTGCAACAAAATGTGCACTGTACAAATTGAATAATAATAATAAAATTAAAATGGACTAAATCTCGATCTGTTTTTTTTAATTATAATTTTGCCTATCCTCACATCACTACATTCTATTCCTGATAAAAGCAACTTTTCAGATGAATAATTAACAATCTCAATATCATCTTCCAATCCTTCAATATCAATTACATTCTTTATTGTCGATACCAACTCCTTCTCATTACAAACCTTTAATTTTAACGCCGATGATTTAAACCAACAATTAGCCAGAGCTGTAAATATCTTGTCTTTAAGTCTTTCACTATTGTAAACTAACATTCCCAAAAAACCATCAGGAAATCTAGATACTGATGATTCTAACTTCTTCATGGTGTCGAGATTAATCGGAGTTTCAACATTCTTATATTGAATAAGAATAAAATTCTTCTTGTATGTTGCAATAATATCTATTCCACCATCACCTTGAGTCATCTTGATTTCATTAGCCACAATCCCACCAGAATTTAAAATCTTATGGATAACACCTTCAAAATCATGACCAATCTTGTGATTTGTGAGCTAAATAAAAAAATAAAATAAAAATATCAACACGAGATTTCTATTCATCCACGAGTTCCGGCTGACTTAACAAGAGATATAACTCAAGACACCAGCTCGCGTTCTCGATGTGAAATGAAGAATATCATTATTGATCAGATCACATTCATAATATTCTTCTTCATATCTAGAACAGCGTAACTTCAGAATCACAAATATTGAGTGAAATGGCATGGCCAACTCACCTTAACAGACATTCTTGAAATATGAAGTATGAAATGTGAAAATGAAGTATCGTTATATAGTTAATTTTCTGTACGGTGCAACAAAATGTGCACTATACAGAATTATGATACATAAGTATGAAAGTAAAATAAAATAAAAATAAAAATACGCTAATTAAATCCTTTTTCTTTTTCTGGAAATTATCTTGCTAATGGAAACATTTTCACCTGTAAGGTTCCTCATATCAAACTTGTCTGCTTTAACATCCAACATCATATTATCTTCATCATCACTATTATCTTTAAAAAACTCTTTGATTACCTGAACCAATTCATTTTTTTCACAGATTTTAATCTTTGCTGTTGTAGCCCATTGTTTCGCCTTAAAAGTGGCGAAATTATTCCCCATCTTTTCACCACTGTACACAATCGTTCCAAGACTTTCAGAAGGATATCTTGAAATTGCGGATTCAAAAAGCCTGACGGTATGAACTTTTATCAGTGATTCCCAATTCTTACATTGGATCAATACTAGTTTTTCCTTATAAGTTGCGATTATATCAATCCCATTATCACCCTGAACAGTCTTAATCTCATTAGCTAATATTCCATTTTCTTCCAATAATTTACATACGATCGATTCAAAATTGTGACCTGACTTGTGATTTGAGATCTGAAATAACAAAGAAGATCAGTACGAGATTCCTATTCATCAGTGTTTGCAAGATAGTCATTTCAAAGATATAACTTCAATCTCTATGTCAGTTTCTCAGAAAGTAATAGAACATATCCTCGACATGAAGTGCTCAGAATATGCTCCTACTTTCCTATGACAGCATAACTTCAGAATCACAAATATTGAGTGAAATGGCACGGCCAACTCACCTTAACATCATTTGATTTCGACATTGTTAATGAAATAAAATGGAAATAGAGAACAGTTTTATAATAAAAAAATAAGAACTGAGAATAGAATAGAATGAAATAATACGAGATTTCCCGTTACGTAGTTCATTTCCCGTACGGTACAACAAATTGTGCACTATACGGAAATAAAATAAAAATAATGAAAATAATAAGATAAAATAAAATAAAATAAAATAAAATTAAAAATAGACTAAGAATGAATCTAAATCTGGCTCTTTTTAGATTTACAACTAAAAATCGGTCTCATGTTGTGTAATATTCTCATCTCCATCGATGCTCTCCTCGATTCCACTCTCATCAGATGATTTACTTTTTTCTAGATTTTCATCCCCCTTTTCCACACTTTCATCATTAACCGTTTTTAATTTTTTTTTCAAATTGCGATCTCCATTGGCACGTTTTCTCTTGTTCTTCTTAAATCTTTCGTTGAGCACCTCAACGATCTTTGACGAATAAAGCTGTAACGTATTCGTCAACTTGTAATCTCTCAAGAAGCTTCTAAAATCAACCGCAATCCATTCACCATTCGTATTCGGTTCCGTCCTCTTAGGAATTTCATCAGTTACAGTAATGTAAGATAAAGTACGATACAAACACTCTCTACCATCAGGGGAAAACTCTAAACCCTTCATGACTATCTACAAAATCCATCGTAGTCACATCAATATCAGCTTCTTCCTTAGCCTCCCTAATAGCACACATCTCAAAGGTTTCGTCTAATTTTTTATGTCCTCCAGTTACTTGATAATGCATATAATAATCTTTTCCGTGATCAATTCTTTGTGAAATCCAGATTTTTTTATCTAGTGTAGCAAGAACAAGAAGCGAAAATTCTCTAATATTCATCTCCACATCATCGATCGTTTTCTTGGAATTCTTCATGATATTTGTCTTCTTTTCGATTTCATGTTCGACACTGTCTTTAATCGTTTCTATCTGATGACCAAATGCTTTATGCATCTCTTCAAGAACATGTAGAAAAAAATTATGTCTTTCAATCGAGTAACGACAAGATTCATAATCGACTTTTGCAATTTGATATGCTTGTTCGATGTTCATTGTGAGTAAAATAAACTTGAAAAGTTACGCACTTTATTCCCCAATCGGTTCATCATTGAACTGATCAGGGATAAAAAACAACATCAAGTCAAAATCTTCTTCAGTAAACAATCGATTCTTACATCTATCACAATAATTTGAACTCTTAAAAGACATGCAGTTCTCACAAAAAAACAATTTGTTATCCGTGAAAGACACATTATTCTCAGAAACAATACCGGACTGATGTGAAATGTACTTGAACTGAGGATCATAACGAACATCGTAAGATGAATCGGAGAAAGAAATGGTGGTAGTAACGGAAATTGAATCTGATAAAAACTCTTCTTCGTATTCTTCCAAACGTCGTCTTTTACATCTCGAACAGTAATTTCGAAAACGGATCAAATGACAATTGTCACAGTAAAATTGTTTTTTTTCTCGTATAGGTACGCAAATTGGATCGACTTTCTTCAACCGAAGACTCCTTCGAACATATAATAATCGATTGTTGATTGAAACGAATTCCCTATGATAACTCATAATGGAATGAAAATATGATGTAAATAGGAATGTAAATAGAATGAAATAGAATGAGAATTACACACTTTACATCCTATCCGGTCTTAAAAAAGACTAGATAGGAATAAAAAATAAACAAGAATAAAAATAAATAAAATAAAAATAAAAAATAAAAATAATAAAAAATAAAATAAAAAATAAAATAAAATAAAAAATAAAATAAAATAAAAATAAAAATAAAAATAAAAAATAAAAATAAAACTATTCCCCATCCGACTCCTTGCTAGAACTTTTATCCTCGACCACTTGAATCTGTTCCATGATGAAATCTAATCTCATCTTTGTAAAACTTCTCTGCTTATTCAGAGCATCCTTCTTCCATTGTTTAATCTCTTCATACTTTTTATTTTTTCTATCCCTAGGAAGCAAATCGCTGGTAGAATCGAAAATCGCCACTTGATTGACAAGAACCTTTCTGTAATTGTTTAAAAAAGTCAAACAATCTTCACGGTTAGGGAACGTCCTTTCGAATGCTTTAATCTCAAAATCTCTTGTTAAATCGTATGGTTTCGTGTTCAAAAGAATTTCGATCTCATCCGGTTGCAATGTTCTTGTAGTTACTTGACGAAATTTTCCATTCTCAAGCTTTCGAGATTTTTCTGAAATATTTGAATTTTCTGGTACATCAGCTTTGCGTTTTTGAGAAGACATATATGGAAATATGAAATATGAAATATGAAATACGAAATATGAAATATGAAATATGAATATGAAATATATATGAAATATGTATGAAATATGAATTATGAAATATGATAAAATCTATTGAAAGATTACACACTTAATTTCCCAACCGGTATCATCATCGATACTGATTGTGAATAAATAATACATGATAAATACATAAAAATAAAACTAAATTTCCAAGTAAGTTTTTAGTAATGTGACCAGTCGACACAAGAATATGTGTTATCAACCTTCTTACAATTGCACTCAAAATGACCCTTTTCCCCACATTTATAACATGTAAATTCTGCACAATCAACTGCTAAATGACCAGGTTTCTTACAAATAAAACAACAAAAATCATTATAGCAACAGTCATTCGCAAAATGACCAGGTTTTCCACACTTGAAACAATTCTTTTTACGTTTTACATCCTTAAGATTATAATTTGAAAACTTTCTCTCATTGATAAACAATACCACCTCATCACGATCGATCATTCCTATACAATCATGTGATAAATTATTGATGTTAGCTGTATGATATTTACACTTCACAAATTGCGTATATCGCCTTTTCTTGTCCTTATGACCAGTAGGTTTCGTATATCCGCAGATGAACACGCACTTGCAATTCTGTATCAAATTTCGACATGCGACACAACATCTATGAGAGAATTCAGATCCACAAATCCAACACATACCTCCATTAAGAGAGGATTTGTAGATATTGACCATATCGATAGAATCCTTCTCATTCACTTTTTTGAAAAACTCATTAACGTCGATATCTGGATTCTTCTGGAGATATTGATTTACCGATATGAATCTTGAGTCTATTGCATCATTTTTTTGAAAATCATCATCATCGTCATCAGATGGCCAAGACCACTCCTCATTTCTCTCAAGATCGATGTTGTTAGAAAAATATTTTGTCTGAATTAATTGTAAGATTTCAATGTAAACGTTTAACAATTGACCGATAAGTTCAAAGATTTGTTGTTGAAGATCCATAATAAAGAATAAAACAAAAGAAGAAATTGCTAATGAAATGAAAAATGAAATGAAATGTAAATGAAATGAAATGAAATTAAATACTTAATTCTCATCCTGGTGTAAACGATTATGAGTTTATCAAAGAACAAATAATCGAATTACACTAGGATGAGATTGTAAAATCATTTCCAATTAAATGAACGAATATATAAAAAAATATCGTAATCCAGCTTGTAAGCTTGCATCTTCCTCTTGTACATGATCTTAGAACCTCTCTTATTCATGTTCACCATGTCTCCTGAAATCAACTATTGGTATTTGTGTCATTTGAAGAAAGGATATGCGTTATTGTAATGTCGCTCATCATTATTCCATAGTTTTGGTTTGAATTTTAAAGATTCTTTACATTGGTGTTTCTTGGAAAGACCTCTCATACTCTCATGTGAACAACCACAACGACAACAAAAATAATGAAAGAAAGGGATTTCTTCATATTCCTTGTTTTGAAGATAAATACGAACGAAACTTTTTTCAAAGTTTATGTTGAAAGCGAGAATATTATTTTTTTTAATAATTTGTTCATGAAATATTTTTGTATATTTGCGAGAAGAATATCTTTGAAGAGGCATATTATTTAGAGTTGAGATGAATTTTTTGTGAAGAGTTGGTTGAAAAACACGCGCTTTTATAGTAAAAATTGACAGGTTTTAAAAAAAATTAAGTAAAATTTTTATTGAAGAAATCGTAAAAATTTCCTAATATAGACAATCTATATTTGGTAATTTACAAAAAATAAACCAGAAATACTTGTTAAAAATTACCAAATGTGGACAGTCTAAATTTGGTAATTCAACCAACATATAAATAACAGTTGATAGGAAAATAAGAAATACATAAAAAAAAATGAAAAGAAAATCAGACTCGATGATAAAACATCATTGGAAAAAAAGAAAAGCGCCTCACGAAAGTATCGAAAAATTTTTAAATTGTGGAATTACCGAGATGATCATGGAACAACTTTACGAGATTATTTTTAATAATATTCTCTACAATGATTTGAACAAGATGTGTTTATCTTCCCATCCTAAAAGACTAATCGATAAGTGTAGACTGATAAATCGATACTTCAAACAATTTTTTGAGCAATATTTTTTTACAAAAATCGATAAACTGTATAATCTTGTTATCATAAAAGACGTATATGTTCTCTCATATGAATTCTTAAAGGCCATAAAAAATAAACAAATCTCAAAACCGATCCATAATATCATAACAAAAGATGGAGAAATCAACTTTTGAGAACTGATAATTATCAATATTTTTATCAAAGATAGTTTAGTAATTGATTCTATTTTTTCTGAACTTCTCATTAAAATTGCCTGTTTTCAATTTACTAAAATATTTTCAAGAATTACATATAATGACTCTTGTGTTGTACATCCTTGTAATCGTTCTTTACATATGGTACATTCAAAAGATAAAAACTTTTGGTATTTCGCTTGTAATATATGTGGGTTTTACCGAGCTATAGCTGATTACAGGGAAAATCATAAATCAAAATTATCATTCTTGTAAATTTGTATAAATACAATGTGATAATAATAATAATAAATAACAAAATAATAAAAAAAATGAACGTTATCATAAAGGGAAAAAATGGTACCGGGAAAAAAACCTTGAGAAAAAAACTGGCAGATGCATTGAATTACACATACATCGATCTAGATCTTTACGAAGATAAAGTTTACAAAGAACTGTTCTTAAGACTTCTAAATCATAATATCAAGATAGGAAAATATGTTATTTCCGGAAATAACATGACCACATTAATCCTACAAAACAACGATATCAACGTGCTCCTTACTGCCGATTTCGAGACCAGAGTCGAAAGAAAATACATGAAAACACATGACACCGATGAAGATCAGATTAAAGAACTTATAAGACATAATGATGAAAAATTTGAAGAAAAATTGGTTGATTTCATCCTTGATACTACTGAAAAAAATGTGGAAGAATCGTTCAAAGAGCTTTACGAAATCGTGATGAAGACCAAAACAAACAATGAAATTTTTAAGAAATTGGGAATAGCTTTAGCATTTTTATTGTTTAGCATTCTTTTAGAAATCATTTTTAACAAAAGATATTTTATTACAGAAATAAAATAAATTGAAGAAATAAAATATATTTTTACGTTCAAAAAGAACAAGAATTACATTATTCTCGTACTTTGTAAACATAAAATCTATAAATTATCATCATAATACAAAACATCATCATGTAAAACATTGTTAAAATATAAGTAATTATTATAATATGGATCCTGAAGAAACATATTATAAGACACGTAAATTCCCAACGAATTCCAATCATCATCCACTAACGGAATATAATTATCATCCACCACATCAGAAGAATTAACATTAACAACAGTAGAATTAATATCCACCACATCAGATGAATTAACATTAACAACAGTAGAATTAATATCCACAGTGGAATTAATGTCCACAACAGTAGAATTAACATCATTCAACAAATCTTCAACAACAGGAGGAAGAAGTGTATCAGCTAATGCTTCTCCTTCGATGTATTTATCGAATTGTATACTCTCTTCTTCCATAATAACACCGTTTGAAGATGAATTTTCACCTTCAAACTCGTCAGAAGATTCATCTTGACTCAAAGATTCGTCTTCCACCATATTTTCATCGTCAGATTTGAGAAATTCTTGGAAAGATAACCACGACCTTCCATAGTAATCTGCTGCCGCCTTTAATTTCGATCGAGCTTTTCGATAAAGCTTCTTGTAATCTGTTCTTCTCTTTTTTGATTGTTCTTCACTGTTCTTGATATAAGTATTGTTCAAGATCGTGTCGGAAGTTTCAATGGAAAATTCCTCCTTCACCTCATCATAGGATCTTTTCTTAAGTTTAGGATTGCTCATAATTGTTTCTGGAGTTGTGTTCTTTATGCCCTTGTATATTTTAAAAGAAAAATTTAACCATAACTAAAAGCAGAAAGCGTCCAATTTAAAGACAAAACGGATAAACTACTACATGCTTTTCTAGGACCAATTAAACAAAATTGCCAATTGTAGAATAGCAAATGATCATGCAGATCAGTTATGATCGACACACTTTCTCTGAATCAGAAAACCTGTTTCCAACCCTAATCGGATTATCCAACCTAGCTCTTGACTAATAAATTTCTCAAGAGATCAACACCAAAACTTCTCACGAGATCAACATCGAAATTTTTCATAGAGATCAGCTGATATTTATATGATAAGACTAATTTAACATCTCGTACTAAGTCTATTTTTCATCAAAAGAACATTCACAAAATGATTCTGAAACCTCAGAAAAATCCCTATAAAATCATATCATGCATCATGCATGTAACGTAAATTCT